GCTGCCAGCTCCGTCAGCCTCAATAAAGGCGGCGTTCCTTGGCAGTGATAGCGACTCTGCACCTAAGGGAAAGCCGTCGGGGTGGCACTACAGTGCCCAAACGGCCATGCCGCCGGGGCGGTCTGCCTCAAAGGAAGTCAGCTGATATAAGATGCTAATTCTGGACTACTTCACTTTTAGTATATCTTGCGCCAGAGTGGGTGGTGATCTCTCCCACATTTATTTCCGTGACTTGCTTCAAGTTCTTCTTACGAAGACTTGAATAACCCTCAAAGTACCACTGTATTTTTTTCTGCTCCTTTCTGAATAAATGGTTCTAAGACGACTGCTTCCTAGACCTCTATAGAAATCAATCATTCACAAACTTACTGGCTATAAACGTCCAGGAAAAAATTATTTTTTAGCATTCGTTTTTTCAGACCTCTGTTCAATGATTCCAGACGCTCTCCGCGCTCGATATTATTCGGGCCCTTGCTGTTCGACAATTGCCGTCGTCCCAGGTAAATATAGATAACAACATCGGTTATAATGGTCCATGTATGTCGGTATCATACACGCTTGCTATCTAATCATTTGCTACAGTAACTAAGCTCCTTGAAAGGTCACAATCGTTCTCATTATCTAATCGTATTCACTCACTTTTGGGACGTTTTTTCTGTATATGTTCGAAACTTTTTTATCAGTCCCCTATCTCTCACCATCAATCGATTGGAATTTTTTGTTTGATTTGTATTATCGGTTACAGATACGATGTGTGACACCACATTTCAAATCGACCACGGCTTCCCGAATGCTGCAGCAGGTAAGTGTGTACTGGGGTAGGGCACTTCTTACTTGTTTCCATCGTCAGATAATATTGAAAACTTCTAGCGCAATTCGACTAGAGGGTGGGGCATTCAAAGTGTCTTCCTCATCAGTTCCCCAAGTAAGAATTTTTGCCAAAGCTCGGGAAAGAAGCAGGTCAGCCGGGGCACGTCCTACGTTGGGAATCCCCAGCCCCAGCGACGGGGGGAGCGTATTTGTCTTAAAAGTTTTTTTATGGTTGTTTTGGCGCAGTTTGGCAACGGAAGGAGGGGAATTTTGCACTTTTGATACTTCCCATCCCGGGAAACCGTGGGTCGACCCAGTGTAGATAAGGCTCTTCTCTATGTGAACAGGTTTTATGACGACCTTGACGAGTTATGCCTCCAGCTCCACAAGAGCTCACAGGTTTCACCAGAGTGAGGCTTGTAAACCGGAACCAGTGAAGCAACGAACGTGCAAAATACCCCCCCCCCCACCCCATCGCCGAGCTGTGCCGTTGATTTTCCAGTTTCATGGGTGCAACTCAAACCGATGGGAGAATTCCAGTGGGGAGGGGGAGTCGTATTTGCCAGGCTTTTGAGAAAAAAAAACTTGTGCTGTCTTTTTTATTGCGGTTTTCCCTTTTGTTGATGCTATATACCCTCCTCCCGCTCGACGGCAATTTCGAGGAAAAACTGAAACCTTAGGAATTCCGGGAAAAGTGGCAAGAGAGATAAGGGTGCTAAGGATGGGGGGTCGTACCAGAAGACGAAAAGGGCGGGTCATATTCTCCGAATATTCCCTCCAGCGGCAAGACGTGCCATGAGGTCAGGGGTGGTCAAACCAGCTTCTTTTTTTTGGAAAAAGGTCATCGATGTAATCTTAATCTTCCAAAAGAGAGCTCTCGCAATGTCCACTCTTTAGCCAACTTGATTTAGATTCTATTCCAAGAAGGATCAGGTCAGGACAACTCGTCCTTAACAAAATCAATTTCTCTTCCAAATCTATCTGCAGAAATCTAGAATTTCAGATTCGTACGAATTCCGGCCTGCAGACTTTGAAATGGACCTGTTGATGCGGACTCTGAACGAGAACCCGGATTTCTTTGGTAAATAGCATTTTTGTAAGAGAATACTGTGGTCTTTTTACTAACTAAATAGCTGACTTACTAGACCGGAATAAACGTGCCATTTCCGAATTTCTTCTTTCGCGATCGGGTTAAATCGTGGATTAGTTGGCATGCCACGATGTCGTTATAAAAACGTTGCCTCCTTTCAGACTCGGCAGCTTTTCTCGCTCCTGCAATGCCAATGACAACCTTGCAGAATGGCTACGAAGACGACTTTGGAACAAATGACGAACCACAGATGTACGCCACAGAGTTTTACGAGCCAAAGTATGAGTAAGTTCGTGAAGTACTTTTGTGCTGGCGTTCTGTCTGTCTTTTGTACTTTTTCTACAGTCTGCTCTCGCTTCTGAGCAGGTCTCTTCTTATATTTCGTAAGCAAGTACTTTTCAGTCCTACCAGTCAAACACCGGTTGGCAGCCCCGATCCTCCATTATCCGGGCAAGGTCCAGCTCAGTTTGAAGAGTTCTCGTTAGCAACGCAATTACCTGGACTGAACGATTATACTGGCACCTACGCAATACCTGACACCACACACCAGGCTCATCACGTCCGTCGGTGTGGGATTCCGTCGGAAACGGGTGGAGGAGACGTTGTGGTCGCCTACTGCGGTCTGCCATGGTGGACTCTTCCGACATTCCAGGTAATAGTTCTCGTTCCTTAAACTGCTGCGCATGTTTGTTTTTAATAGGGTTGAACTTCCACAGTGTATCGCTCTAAAGTTACCATAAGATTCATATGTTGCGAGCTCAAGTTGAACAATCTTCGCCTTTTGATATTGACCTTTATGTTCAGTCCTACGAGCCGTACTCAGCGCAGTACTTCTTTACCACGCCACCAGACACTCCACCAAACATCTATCCGCCGGTTCCGTCGCTACCGATGCCGTCTGGTCCATGTATGCGTCAACCCACGTCGTCCAACTCTGATCCCACGCCTACCATTCGAAAACTGCTCCAGCAAAAGAAGAAGCGCATTACGGTATGTTACAGAATCTACCTGTGAAACTCTGTGACCTATACCGAAAGAGCATTTTCAGGCAGTTCCGTGCCACATCAACTCTGTGTGCACCACGTGTCAAACCCGGACCACCTCACTTTGGCGTCGAAACCATCTTGGAGAAATCGAGTGCAAGTGAGTTCTAGAAGTGATTGATGAGAACCAGCTGAGCAAACACTGCAGCAGTACCTACAATACTTGCCTTGTATATTGTCGATCACATTCTATGAGTTTGAGGTTAGCACAGCCTTAAGCGGTAACCCTGAGGCGGGCTGCTCCTTTCAAAGGTACTCTCATCCGCCTCTGTTTCTGGCATAGTAACATTGCGTCGTAGGGCGTCGCTCTGAAGATTGTTGGTATCTAGGACAAGCTACCCGAGGTTCCAGCGAGTAACTGGACTAAAGTCTCTTGATAGACGTTTGCTGGAGAGGAGAGGGGGAGGGGTGGAGGAGGGAGCTCCACCGGATAGCAGTTAAGTGTGCATGCCCGGCAAGCCACGTTGCTTTTTACACTCCTTATCCCTGAGACGGAGTAGGCGTGGCGTTTGAACATGGCGTAAAATGGTGGTGTACTCTTGGGATACCTCAGTTTGAGACGACTGTCACCTTGTTGTGTACCGGACACAGACATGACCACAACTGCGTCAAATTAAATATCTACCAAAAGCACAGCCACCGCCACGTTTAGTTGAAGTACGCAGCCACGCCTACCGCATCTCAGGGATCCCGAGTGTAGCTACAGTCGTTATCCCAGCAGTGAGGGCATGTGAGGGCGCGTAGTTGGAGCGTAGCTGGGGCGGCTTATTCCATTGAACGATGCCATCCTAGGCCCTCAACAAGGGGTTAGAATGGGTACGGTGGCTGCGTTCCAATATATGCCCCTTCGCACGCCCTCTCGTTTGCAGGGATAATGACCGTGGTTCTTTCCTAAGTCGTACTTTCTGAGAAACAA